TAACCACGTGCCTCATCACTAACCACGTGCCTCATCACTAACCACGTGCCTCATCACTAACCACGTGCCTCATCGTCACTAACCACGTGCCTCATCACTAACCACGTGCCTCATCGTCACTAGCATAGCCAACCATGTGCCTTGCCATAGCTAAGCGCGGGGGTTCTGCTCTGGTTGATGCCGGTGCTTCAGCAGGGTACTCTCTTGTCACACTTGAGAGGGGTTTGCATTCTGCCAGGTTACTAGGGAAGGAGCAGTAGCTGCACGTGGAAGAGGCTGACTTTCTTTTGCAAATGTAATCAGCTCTGGAGAGAGATTTAATTTAAACGGATCTTGATGATTGTGGGTGCCTGCTTCTTTTATTTTGGTTCTATATTTTAAGAGCATGTTTGGAATCATATTCTTAGAATTGTGTTGCTGTTGAGCTGGTCCTGCACCCCGGTGCCGCTCTCTGGACGTGACCTTCCTTGTGTGTCTGACTCTCTACCCTGACATACGCGGCCTTCAATGGTAGCGGCTCCCCAGGCTGCTTTGCTAGAGGTAGCAAGGCATAGCTCCGACTCTCTGCTGGGTCCTAACTTGGCTGCCTCTCTTATAACCAGAAAGGATTCAACATAGCTGCTCAAAGTCAACCTGTGTTCTTGGTTTCTCAACAGTAATGCTTAATCTAACTGCATTCATCGGAACTACTGAACAGTTTGGATGTAAGTTTACTGTATTGCTTTTTGTATCTATCTGCAACTTGGTTTTTGTCCCTTTAATCCTGCAGAACCTCTGCATCGTATTTTTCAGTATTCATTTTATATTTTGTTAGCTTTTAGTTAGTTTTGAATTATTTCTCAGGTGGCTCTCGAAGGCACTCTTCCAACAGCCCTGGCCTGCCATCTGCCACAGCACTGGTGTCCAGTGCTGGGTGGACACTGAGTGACATCTCCCCCATGGTGCCAAAGCCCACCGATGCCATGTTCCTTTCCTGCCACACAGAGCAGAGGGAGCGCTTAAAACGCACGTGCTGCCCTGGCAGAACCCCCCCCCCCCCCCGCCGCGAGGTCGGCACAGTGTGTGAACCCTGACGAGTCTCTAGCGCTCCGAGGTGAGCGGAAGAGCACATAGGCGCAGCATGGTGGCAAGAGAGACACTCTGCGCTCCACAGGCAGCACATCACAACTGCTCTGAGAGTGAGTTCTAATCCAGTGTCTTCAGGCAACAGCACCCGAGGCGCCCCAGTGAGGAGGCGAGGAGGAGGTGGGCAGCCTCACCTCGTCCAGAGGCCAGGGCGTACCCCAAGAGCCGGCGAGGTGCGCTCCAGTGAGGCAAGCAGTCCCCACTGCGCCCATCCTTGGAGGGCAAACTCCCCTGCGCCTCTCCACCGTCCCACAGGCCCGTGAGCAAAGCTCTCACACCCACCACTGATTTCCGCCGTCGTGGGTCCGTGCAGCACGCGCCCTGGCTTGGAGCTGACCCTGGGCTGTGAGTGCGGAGTTTTAAAGCAACATTCCTCTGGCAATGCGGACGGGGATGAGCGGCGTGACCTGCGGTGCTTCGGGGAAGTGTCGGAGTCTGGGCCAGTCTCCACGGCATGCGGGCCCCTGTGGGAAGCCCGTGCGTCTGCAGCACGCACGTTAACCGCACTGCAGATGCTCCTTCGAAATGTCATTTCTTCCAGAACTACACTAATCTTCCCTTGCTTCATGTTTCATCCAATTATTTGGTTTCTAAACAAGCAGTGACCTTATGAATTTGGTTTGCTGAGTCACGAGGTCTGAGGCGAAGCAGTTAACGCTTAACATCCTTTCTACTTCAACCATTGCACGCTGCGCCGTGAGCTCCGCGCGAGCCCTGCCTCCTCCCTGCCCCAGCGGTGCTGCCCAGACTCACGAAGCCCTCCCCATCTCGGTGGATGACTCAGGATATCCAAATACCGGAGTGACCGGCTGGGAACCTGCCTGGGAATCTCCACGGCAAGAGCGTTAGAACCCAAACGACAGACGAGAAAAGTCAGCATCTGCACGAGAGGAAGATGCGGCTTTCCCAGCAGACTACTCTGTCAGCCCGTGGTCGGACATGTCCTGGGACATCAAGATGGCAGCGCTTCAGATCCGTGCTCTTCCTCTATCTGCCGCTCCTCTCCCACCCCGGAGGCCGAACCTCGGTGACCACAGCCCACCAGCTGCTTACTTTTAAACCTCGCGTGGGACTGGATGATTACAATCAGAACCACACTTTCCCATCTGAGTGTCACCCGCACGGCACCCGCTATTAACTCACACCCAGAGCCACATCTAATGACTTTCCAACTAAGCATGAGGGAAGATCCAGAATAGCGGTGTGGCTCACGCGGTAGAATGCTAGCCTTAAGCACAAAAGCTCAGGGACAGTGCCCAGGCCTTGAGTTCGCCCAGGAAAATAAAAAAACAAGAACAGCAACATCCTGTGTTCTGTTTGTATCTGGGGACAACTTACCTCTTATTCTCATCTCTGTGCAGTCTTCAATTTCCAGGAACAGACAGCAATGAAGATGTGAGGAAACCCACCTAAGATTTCTTGGGGCCGGGGAGGGGAGAGGGGAGTCGCTGAGCACGTGCTGAGCATCTGCAGGCCACGGGTTCACGCTCAGCCCTGAAAATCAAAAACAAAGGAAGCAAAAGGCAAGTTGTCTTTGAATACACTTGGTTTTGTATATATTCATATATTTTGAATTTAACACACCATTAGCAATAGCAGTAGTGTGGGGGGAATCTGTTTCTGTTGTCCCTCTTTAAAAAATACACTTTATCTTCAAGTAGTTGTACAAAGGGTTTCACTCCAGCGTAGCAACATACGGGCACACCGCATCTTGATGGGTGTCGCCCCTCCCCCCAACCCCCCCCCCCCCCCCGTGGCCTGGCTCCATTTTCATACATGCACATCAAATACGATGGCTGCCCGCCCCCCATACTTCCTCTCTCCATCCATCTTTCTTGTCACTGTGGCCTAATACTCAACGTTGTTATCCGAACTATACAGCCCGGCAGACTGAGAGACTGTCAGAAAGTGGCTTCTCATCACAAGCAAGCCAGTGAGTTTTGAAATAACCACAACAAGTCCAGAAAGCCTTTCTCTGCCTCCTCTCCCCTTCCATTTTTGTAGGTCAGCTCTGGAAGCCAGGGTGCCTTCCAAACCCTTCAGCTTGTATTTGCCATAAAAGGAGTCTGTTCTCAGATCTGCTCTCTGCACTGATGCCAAGGAGATGTGCCTTCATTTCAAGAGAAGGCTGCAGTGGATAACAATTAGTTTGAAGACAAAAATATGCACTCCATGACTCAGAGTCTTAATACTTGGGAGTCAATTCCCCAGGTAAGATGTTGAGGTGAGATTCGTCCTAAGTCATTTGGGGTTTCTTTGAGGTGCACTTTTCCTTGTTGCTCGGCCTGATCTTGAACTCCAGGGCCCAAACCATTTTTCCTCCTCAGACATTCAAGTTAATGAGGAAGTGGCTAGGGCTACAGGAATACAATAGAGCCCTGGGCTATTTTCTGTTGTTTTGTGAGGATCCTGGGACTGGAACTCAGGGTCTGGGTGCTGTTGCTGGGCTTTTGTACTCAAGGCTAATGCTCTACCACTTGAGCCACAGCTCTACTTCTGGCTTTTTGCTGGGTAATTGCAGATCAGAGACTTGTGGACCTTTCTGCTCAGTCTGACTTTGAACTGTGATCCTCAGATCTTAGCCTGAGTTGCTAAAATGACAGGCACGAGACCAGTTTGAAGGAAAAAAGTGAAAAAATGAGAACAAGGCCAACAAGGGGCCTATCTGTGAGGCATTTCTCTTGCATCCTGAATCTCACAGCAGACCCTGCAAGCCAGCTGGCAGTCACCAGCGTCACAGGGAGGGCTGAGAACTGAACAGTGCCTTCAGAAGAACCAGAGTATGCCACACCACTTCACCTTTTTCAAAAACCTTATTCTGCTGTCACAAAAGGGGAAATCCACGGGTCTTCACTAACTGGAGTAGTCTTCCAACAGAGGAAGGCAAAACCTTTCTCTTCAGTGGGTCTTTGACATGGAAACAGGACCATCTGCCAGCAAAGCTCTGAGCAGCAATCATCCAATAGCTTCTCAGATGTCAGCTGATACCGCTGGGCACCTCTGGTCTCCCAGCTAGGGTTGCCATCTCTGCAAGGCCACAGGAGGCCCTGCACAAAGAGTGGCCTGGTTTTGCTTAAAAATGGCACCAACTTGGGTCAGTGGGAACGAGGCTCATCCGTGTCACTCTGCAAATGGCCAAGCAGGAAAGCCACGTTTTGTTCCTGGGACCCTGGGGGGCCACCGGCTCGCCGATCTGCACCTGTTTGGCAGTGCTGCGACCTTCATGCGCAGAGCAACGACCCACCATCCTTCTAATTCCAGCTGCTGCCACTTCCATAGTTAGGAAATCCTATGATTTGATCACAAAGGACAAGGCTCCATATTCCCTTAATACAGCCAGTCATCCTTGGATCCGTGTGTGGCTGTAGTGACTGAGCTGCGTGAGGAGCCGCCTCTCACGGCCCGAGCCCGGGGCCCAGCCGCCTTGGCAGCAACAGCAGCCAGCTCCCAAGCCACTACTTACCAAACATGTGTGCCAAACATGTGGTAGGATTTCATGACAACTCCTTCCTTGTTGGCGAAGGTTAGGGGATTGAACCCAGGGCCTCATGCTTGCTAAGCAGGCCCTCTACCACTCGAGCCAGGCCGCCAGTCCCTTTGCACTGGTTATTTTTTGAGACAGGGTCTTGCTAGATGCCTAGACGGGCTTGTCTGCGTTTCTGAGGTGATGGGAGCAGAGTGTGGTCCGGCCAGTGCTGGAGACAGGTCTCAGGAACGCCGTCCTGCCTGGGCTGCCTGGAGCCACACACCCCATCCCTGCCTCCCAGACGGCTGGTATTACAGGCGGAGCCACCACGCCCAGCTTTGTGATGCCTGACCTGCCACGAGTTAGCTCAACGGACACGCTCGCTCGAAATGACCAGCTGTGCCACGTGTTCAAGTGACATTGTTTATTAATGCATACTAATACCTTTCTATAGGATGTGAGTATACATAATAAATTAAAATGTATATATTTATTAAATATAGGTAGATATAATACCAGAACATGATTATTTTAGATGAGAAATCAAAATAAACCCATTTTTAAAGTATCTTTTGGTCTCTCCAAATTGATACTGCTCATAAAAAAATACACCAATTTTCCCAGGGGGAAAAATTAATTCCATAGCAATGTAGTTAGGGACATGTTTTATTTCATAGCTTTTGTTTTTTTGCAAGCAAAATTGCTTTACTACAAGGTGAGTTCCATGATACAGGTGCTACTGTCCATTCAAGCAAAAGCAAACCTCGCGTTCACGCGCGTGCACGCTAGAGCTGTTCATAGCTTCAGAGGTGGTGGCCGGCGCCTCCGCGCGTGGGGGGCAGCGGCGCAGAGATGCCCCCGGGACGGCAGGGCCCGCACGGACGCGGGCAGCCGGCCGGGCACGAGCGCGCACATGTCGTGATCGACACTGAAGTCATCTCAAAAGATATCCCTGGTTGTCTTTCTGTCCACGCTTTGGCATTTCCAAGAGAAACGAGGAATCATCCTGAGGTATCTTTCCTGCGGAGCAGCGTCGCGCAGCGTTGCGGCTGTCGGGGAGGCCGAGACTTACCTGCTGTGTGGGGCCGGCCCCCGCTCCACGCATCCTTCCTGTCACACAGGATGTGACTTGAACCCCAGTGCGTCTGACCACGAGGGATGCAGACCAAATAAAAAGACAGATACACAAATAAGGCCGTCTGCAGAACTTTAAACTCTGCTCTTGCAGTATGTCACAGTAATTCTACGCCCTACTTTACATCGTTCACGCTCCAATGATCATCGCTGGGGGGGGCTGGCTGCACTATCTCTTGGAGGCCTTGTCCAGTCTGCTGGCGGGCGGCCGCCTCTGGGGCGTGGGGATCTTGGAGGGCCGGGGGCCGGCGCGCGGCGTAGGCCTGGGCGTGGGGGGGGCGGCCTCTGCCTCTGAGCACGCGGACTGGATCTCGGAAATGTCAAAGTCGGAGGCGTCACTGCCGCGGCGGCTGCCGGCCCTGCTTCCGGCTCTGCTTTCCGCGCGGCTGCCGGGCCGGCTGGGGGTCTTCTTGGACTCTGTCAAGAGAAGGCAGGAGTCCTGCTGGTTATCCACCCACCTACAGCTCGCTCTGGAACATTCCAGCATGTGTCCCACACCAGTAGCATCAGGAGAACTGCATGGTAGCCGCCCCCCCCCTCCGCGAGCCTCATACCCGGCGGAAGGCCCAGCCCAGGCCAGGTGGTTCCTGGGCTGGGAGCAGGCCAAAGAGGCCGCCACCTGCAGGGGTGGGGTGCTGCAGGCCTGTCCTCTGACGGCATTCCTCGGCCCTGTCTGCAGGGTGTCGTGGTCACCTGTCTGGCAGCTCACTGAATGCCCCCCAGTGGGCTGGGGCGTCACCCTGGGGGGACGCCTGCAGTCTCCACACCCACTGGGGCTGCAAGCGCCACTGGCAAGGCCCCACACTCACCGGCAAACTGCGTCCGGACCCTGGCGGCTGCAGTGGTGAGGAGGCCGCTGTCGTCCCCGGAGTGGAAGCCCTTCCCTGACAGGTACCCGGGCAGGCGCAGCTTGCTGCCCTGGATGGGGGTGCCCTGTGTGACAGCGAGGACACGAGTCAGATGCCGCGGCAGGGGCGGGGGGGGGGGCAGGAGGGGCGCCCTCCCTAGCGTCCTCCCCCAGTACCTCACCCCAGAGCCCCGAGGAAACGGAAAGCAAGTGGGATTCAAGGCTGAAGAGCAAACACAAATGGAGGTTCACCACCGCCGCCCCCCAAGTTATGGGGAGGAAAACAGAAAGGGCATTAGTATCTCCAGGTGACAGCCAGCACCAGGGAGCGAGGGACTCAGTGCCCAAGGCCAGGCGTCCTGCACAGGAGGCAGAGCCAGACAGACAGACACAGGCTGACCAGGACTCTGTGTGTGAGGAGCCCAACGCGAAGGCCGGGCCGAGGCTTCCGCACCCGGTCGCTTCCTGCTGTTGGCTTTTGTGTTTGGAAATGGTGCCAGGGCCGGACCTAGGGCCTCTCCGCCACCCAGCCACACCCCACTGGCTCTGTCATCTGGGATGGCCTTTTCATGCAAGATCCACAGGCAACACTTTTGACAGAAAACGTTTACAGTGACGGCAAATTGTGAAGTCACTGCTTTTCCAGACAACGTTTTGGAAATTCCATCAAAGTGAAAAAGTAAATGCATGGGGGTTTCATGAAGTCATATTCTTCACTACAGCCAACGATGTTGAAGAAAACAAGCACATTTCCCCTTATGGCAGGTCAAGTACACGTGTGAGACACGCCAAACACCCACTGGCGTCCACACTACTGGACCCTTCCTATCGTCCACCCACCTGCATGCTGTCCACACGCACGGGAGCACGGGGTTTACACGTCAAGCGCTCCAAGTTTTCTGGACCACTAATGCACACACACCCCCAGCGCTTCCTCTCCCTCTCCTGTGCATTATCTTTTTTACACACTTCCCAGGGAGTGACCGCCCGCCTCACAGCGCTGAGTGTGTTAAACCCAGGCTTGACACTGTCAGCAGTCTGCTGGGAGCCAGGGAGGAGCTGGGACTCAGGAAATCCCCCCTAGGCCATCCAAGCCCTCCAAGCCTCACCAGCCACAGACCCTTCCATACAAGCAGATGCTGCCATGTTTGCGTGACTTTCACTATATGAGGTTATTCAGAACAAAACCTAGTTATGCATGAGTCCCGGTAGGATGGCTTGGGCTTGGGGGAGTTGCCAGTTTTACGACAGTCTGTCGTAAATATGTGTATGTGGTGCATATGCACACACGTGCACACATGTGCGCATACAAATATGCACATACCCTTCTGTGTGCTCACCAGGCACATGCCTTGCCTTCTGAGCCATGCCTCCAGCCCCTTTTGCTCTCTATAATTAGTTTTCAGATGGGGCCTTGAATTTTTTGCCATGGTTTCTGCACAGCTGAGATCAGAGGTGGGCATCGCCATGCCTGGCTTAGCCCTGTGCATTTAAAATGGATGTGAACAAGTCACTTGAGGTTCCTGAAACTGGTCTCCTTTTTTGCTGTAGCGGAGCCACGGTCCCTTGCAGGCATTTCTGTGGTACGCGTGCTCCTCACTCGGCTGAAAGTCAAGGGTTTGGGGTGAGGAGCTTTCTCGGTCTCCTCTTCCTACTGTAAGGAGTCAGTTGCAGGCACGGTGCTTTGGAAAGGTGTGCCCTGCACCCTGCCACCTGCCAGCACACTCACACATACCAGTTACTCAAACCCACCACACTGCACAGCTCCACACCTCTCTGCTGGGAATCCAGCGGCTGTGTTACGCCACAGGCTGTGGGCAGAGGCGAAGGAGGCACATACTCAGGAGCACCAGGCCCACAGGAGCTCTCGCTCAAAAACTTGCACGTTAGATGAACCTCCTGCAGGTGAATCGGCCTGCCTCTCACACCCACACAGAGTTAGTGCCCAAATTCCTTCTGCTAGCACAGTATTCCACTAGCTGTAGAGGAAACTTCATATAGCGATGGGATATTATCTCCCATACTTTGTTCTAAGAACTAGAAGCAGAAACAAGAATGAGTGGGAACCCAAAATAAAGGTGTAGAGCCATTAGGTATGGCTGCATCAGGGTGCAGTGTGCCTCACAGGAACCCCTTGCTCGCGTCTCCTAAGAGCTTCTTGGTTGGTAACCATTCCATAGACATCCACAGAAAGACTCAGGGTTATCAGAGGTGAGTGGAGGAAGGCGCTGGAGAGGCTGGGTTAGTGGGTGTTATTTTCAGTCAGAGAGGACTTGAGTTAGGACTGGGTCCGGGCCTTACGATACCTCTGCAGATGACACGGCAAAGTCTGAGCACTCTGCTGGCTTACAAGGAGTTGACATTTTGCTGTTTGTCAACCATGGTTTACCATAATTGCGTGTTAAAGGATGGAGAATCTGCATGGAACAATGGCAAATCAAATGTAAAGGAGAGCAGGTCAGAACCAAAGCCACAGCAAGAGACAATCATAGCGGAGTCCCACTTCACAGGCTGAATAATAACCATTAAAAATGAGTATGAAGGTCCGATGACACCTCATACACGCAAAAAAATAAATGCAGTTTAAAAAGAAAAATGAATATGAAAGATAACAGAGTTCTGGCGGGGACAATCTCAGTAGAGCCACGAGGCAAAAGCATGCACTCAAGAAAACCTCGTGAGAAGAGGCTGGCCCTGCCGACCCTGAGCAGCCCCGCAGAGGCGCGGGCGAGGAGAGTCTGTCGTGGAGCCCTACCTTGGGCGTGCTCGTGGCGGGGGCTGGCGGGGAAGCTGCCTGCCCGGCCTGGCTGGACACCGATGTGGATCTGTTGGGGGAGGCTCCTCGCGACGAAGGCCGTGACCTGCGCCCCCGAGGGCGGAACGCGGCCATGCCCTGGCTGGCGCCGTCTGCCAGAATGAACTTCTCACGCAGCTCCATGTTGGTCCTTCCTTTAGCTAGAACACACATATGCACACACATACACACACACACGCACGCACGCATGCGCACGCACACACACAAAGAAGAAAAAAGAGGCGCTCAGTCTTTATGGAGAGACCCATCACCTGGCATCAGAGATCACACTGGGGATTTCAAGAACACCTTTTGCCATGCTAACTCCACCGGAGCACACCGAACAGTCCAATGCATCCCTGCACAATGCATTCTCTGGTGCCACACTGTGCCTGGGGGCAGGGGACGGGAGTGCTCATTCTAATACTAGACGCCAGCAAGAATACCACTGCAAAGAAAGTCAGCATGACGATGGAGCGCTCATGCCAGCACGGATGCCACCGCCTCCACCACTCTAAGCCACGACAGCCAGGGGCAGGCGGTGTCTTTGGCATGTACCCTAGAGGCTGGAGGGGATAGGAGGTGTCTTTGGCGTGTTCTCTGGAGGCTGGAGGGAACAGGCGGTGTCTTTGGCATGTACCCTGGGGGCTGGGGGACAGCGGTGTCTTTAACGTGTTCCCTGGAGGCTGGGGGGTGGGGGCGGTGTCTTTGGCATGTACCCTGGAGGCTGGGGGCAGAGGCATCAGACAGAACACTGGGATTAGTTCAACAGTAGAATTAAACAGAAGGAGAAATGGCTCATTAGTCATGGAGACACATGGAAACTTCCAGATTTTTCACGGAAAGGAGGCAGTTAGTCTTTTAATTTTATGCCTTGAGACACCATTTTGTCAGCATGCAATCACCATCGCCAGACCCCAGGGCTCATGTGCTGTCAGTGGTGCAGCCCGTGCACACACACACACACACACACACACACATGTGCACTCGAAAACACGCCACGAGAACCCAATGAGCAACGTGTGCGCACGTGCTGGATCACTTAGACACTCCCACAGCCAGTGCACGGGACATGTGTCGGGCTTTCCGAACACAGGTGTGGAAGCACCCGCTCAGTGGGACAGGAGTTAAGCCATACACAATGAATGAGGCGTAATAAGTCACACAAACAATAAGCGAGAATGTCCGGGGGAGAGAGGAGAGCGGGGCAGAGGTAGAGCTTGCCAACCTATAGCAGGCTGAGTGGTAGTAATTGAAGAGTTTGATTCCGAACGTAACATTTTACTCCCATGATGGTGAACTAGAAGAAATGACACAGGACAGCAGTCACATTCAAGAACACAGTCAGCAGAGGAAGAAACAAAGTCAGCAGTTGAATACGCAGCCGGAGCTCAGACCCCGCCGTTAGCTGGAGTTTCAGAGGAATGTTGCCTCAGGAAAGCCGTCCTCAAAGCCTGACACACAGGGTGCAGACGCCCCAGACACGCACGCCTGAGGGGCGCCCCTCTCCAAGGCCGCCCACCGTGGGTGCACTACTGCCCAGGTGCAGGGGAGGCACCTGTCCACTACAAAACGAGCACTGCAGATCCTCCTGTCTCCCCAGCCAGCGGCAGCCTCCTAGGTCTTAGGTTAGCTGCAAGAGTCTCCTGTGTACTTTTCTGTGGTATTACTGAATATTCATTGTAGGCCCAGGAGATTATATACACACAGCTATCTGTCTGTCCATCCACCCACCAGCATACTTTTCATGTGGACTGGGGTGCAGCAGGTTTGTGTAAGCACACTTTGTCTACATGACAGTGACATTGCCTAATGGCACCTATCACCACCCATAAGTGATACAAGGCCACTAGAACGGGAGCATGTGATCCTACTACTTTACTTCTCTTTGAGGTCTGTCCTCAGCTGTGGAGGGCTGGGGCAGCCGGGCCTGCCCATCTGACACACTGTGGGTCCCGATGTCCAGAGCTGGCCCCGGGCTCCCCTGGGTGCCCACCATGTGCTGACCCCTGCTGATGGGAGGAAATCCATCATTTTGTTTTTTTAAAGTGAGACAAAAATGAAGCGCCTCCTGAGTAGACGGTTCCCAGTTAGAACCTGCATTCAAATGCTCTCATGATGAAAACCAATTGCAATCAAATGCTCTTTCATCATGAAAACCAATCGAGCACTCGGTGACCTGATGCGGGGTCCCAGAGCAGGAAAGCCTTCTCTCCAGCCTTTCCCATCTTCCTGCCCTCCATCTTCTTTCCTCCTTCCTTGCTACTTGCCACTACCTTTTCCTGGTGAGTAAAGGGCTCCTTTGGAACACTACAGACAGGAGGGTTTCAAAAGTAAAAACTGAGTCTAATTCCTTCCTCAAATTTACCCTGGCAGTGATGTGACGGCATTTGTGTCTTTTGTGGGTCTCAAAGGTAAAAACTGAGTCTAATTCCTTCCTCAAATTTACCCTGGCAGTGATGTGACGGCATCTGTGTCTTTTGTGGGCTCTGGGGACGGAAGCCAGGACGTCGCGCTTGCCAGGCAGGCACTCTGCCACTGAGCTAGAGCGCGGCGCGGAGGGCATTTCAACGCGAGCAGAGCTTGCTCTGCCTGACTGTGCAGCTCTCTGGGAACTCGAGCCTGGCAGACCACAGGGCCAGGCTCCCTCACTTTTGGAGTGAATGCCCGTTGGCCGGGTGTGTCTGTGAGGCTGAAGAACAGAGGACCCACTGGGCGCTCTTGGTCCCCAGGCTGCCCTGCCCGATCCTTACCCCGGCAAGGGTCATTTTTCACCAAGAACTCGTCCAGCGCCATCCACCCGCCTCCGACACGAACCATCACGGTGCTCCGCAGGATCCGCACCAATCGCAGCTGCTGGGAATCTCCAAACTGCAGTGGAGGGAGAGAGAGAGAGAGAGGGAGGCTGCCATGCTCACCCGAACGCCCAGCCCCAGCCGGGAGGGTGGAGTCGGCAGGAGCTTAAACCACCGCTTGGAGGCCTTGCTTAGCCCACAGCATTAGTGCAAGCTCAGGAAGAGCTTTGAGATGGACTGCGTTAGGCGGCCCCATGCTGATTTAGCCCAAAGGAAACAGTTTGGGAAAAAAATGATCACAAAGGTTATTGTCAAGTTGTAGTAATGAAGCTTTGTCCTAAAAAGGATTTTTTTTCTTTCTCGCAATGGAAACAACCAGAGCAAGGCAGTGATTAAAAACGCTTCTACAAATCATACACAGCCATGAAGCCTTGGCCACCTGACCAGAGCTTTTACACAGGAAGATGACTCCAGGGACAATTTAGTGATTCCTGGTCCACTTCATGAACACTATTTTCCTCTTATATCTGTGAGAGAAATCTCAGTGAGCTCATTTTGTTTTCCCCAAGAAAGGTTTGACTTATGAAACAAAAATCACTTTCACACATGACTAAGATTTCTGCATCCCTAAAGTCTGGTAGCCCAGTTGGTAGAAGGCTGGCTTTCAATGCCATTTCAGATGATACTGCAGCTGCTGTGGGCAGATCGCTAAGGAGACAGCTTTCAGACTGAGCTCAGCTTCCCAGAGCAGTGTATCCATGATGGCAGGGTGCCCTCTCACCCTGCCAGAAGCTTCCAGTCATTGGATGAGCCCCAGATTTCACAAGTCCTGAGTGGATGCAGTGGAATCTACAGGTAGTTCTGGTAAGAGGCTTGTTGAAAGCCCAGGAGAATTGACTTTATACCCTGAAATCATTTCTAATAGGCTTTTGTCTAACTTCAGAAAGCCATCAAACTAATTTCATAGTTGCTAACCTAGCCAATAAAAGAGCAAAAGGACCAGGTAATCAACACAAATGACTTCCTTTATAAATTAGGGAAAATAGAATTGTGCTTCTGGTTGTTTGTCTGGCTTGCTATGGTAAGATAAATACTTTCAGAAGAGTCACTTCGTTACTTTTCAGAAAGCTTTAGCCCTGGGCTGTGGGAGATGTAAGTAAAACGGACAGGAGGCTGCAGGTTGTAGAAAAACACCTCTGGGAGCCTCTATTTATAAGCTTGCTTTTTTTTTTTTTTGTCGGTTATGGGGCTTGAACTCTGGGCCTGAGCGCTGTTCCTCAGCTCTTCAGCTCAAGGCGAGCGCTCTACCACTGAGCTACAGCGCCACTTCCAGTTTTCTGGTAGTTTATTGGAGATAAGAGTTTCACGGACTTTCATGCCTAGGCTGGCTTTGAACCGTGATCCTCAGATCTCAGCCTCCTAAGTAGCTAGGATTACAAGCGTGAGCCACCAGCGCCCAGCCTACAAGCTTGATTTTTAAAGATGGACCTAAGTGCCAATAAGTGGGCCCATTCTTCAGATGTAGATTCAAAAACCAAAATGTAACTTGGCTTTATTAGAAAAAAATTTGGTGCTGCTAGTAAGCAATGGGAAAGGAAGGAGCTGAAAGAAAATTACTCTTAAGGAACCAGATAACTGGACAGATAATTTGGTCTAAAATTAAAAGTTTTAAGGAAATAACCAAAGCTGTCTTACAGATCTATTTAATAATTCTGCTAAATATGAATAATTTTAAATGTCATTTTAGAAATAAATTCTCCAGACAACACTGACTTTAGAAAGTCTCTAGTTTTTCTAACAGCCAAACTGAAATGAGAGCATGCAGGTTAAACGCTGTTCTTTGACTTCTCAGTAAATGTGATCTTTGGAGGCATTTCTGTTATTCTCAACACAATTCCAGACTGAGGAAGATGCCATTTGCTCACTACAAAAATAACAAGAAGAGCAACACTTTATTGTAGCGTTGTAACTAACGGGATTTGATCAATCTGATCCTTACACACCGAATGCAGGGATTGTGTCACTCCACTGGGCTCCATGAATTTCTTGGGAAAAAAATCATTCAAGGTAATGGACTATTTCTATTTTAAATACATCATTTGCTTGCAAGAAAATGGAGAATTTGAAACTTAAGATGTAATAACAGCTAAACTGCAGTGGCAGAAAAATAACAAGTCCTATGTGTGCATGTGTATATTTATATCTGTATCTATCTCTCTTTCTCTATGTAGATAAGCTTCTAATAAAAGATTACAGTCAAAATCTTCTCCTTAGATATGGTGAAATCAGCATATAATTTTGTGTTTTACTTTTAAAATTCTGACCAGGCTGCAGTGCCACCAGCAGCCCACATGGACATAAGCACCAAACTAGATATTCGGCAACAACTGTAGAAGATTTTGTACACACTGTGTGCAGTCCCTTTCCTGAAAAGGACTGACACTGAGGTGGCACTGCTACTGCACAGATGAAAAGCCCACGCTGGCAGCTCAGAGCTCAGGCACTGTCCAGAGCCCCCCTGCCACAAGACTCTGCAGCACTCTTCTTCCACGTTCCTGAGCTACGTGACCCTGGTCAGCTACCATGTGCCATATGTCCTAAATAGACACAGAGCTGTGTGGAGAATCAATGATCTTTGCACAAAACAGATGCTCATAATGTCATCAAACACTGCACTGTTTCACTGTAGCCAGCTAAGTGCTATGGATTGTCTGGTTCCCATAAAAGTAATCTCCTCGCCAGAGGCACAAAGCAGAGGAGTCCTGGATTCAGGACCCTGGAGCAATTACAGAAACACCACAGCAACCAACAGTGAGCAGCGAGCAGCAGCCTGGGGAGATCGGTCTTGGCAAGCTTTAATGACTATGAGCTAAAGTTTAAAAAAACATAGGAGCTTGAGAATACAATCCACCAGTTTATACCTGATTTCCCAGGAAGAACTGATAAAAAAAATGAAAAATTGAAGAAAGACATAGTTAGTTCATGAGGAAGTGTTTGACACAGCTGAGCACGCGCGCACGCACACACACACACACACACACATACACACACACAGACACGCACGAGCACGCACACATCCATGCTGGGCTTCAGATGAGAATCTATATTAGGCATGTGTAATAATTAAGTCCTTCAATGATTTTCCAAAGAGTTTATGTGCACGTGTTAGAAAATCTTAGGATTTCAAACCCAAGTTAAAATATGCAGAAACATTTTTAGCATTAAAAGTAGAAAAAAGTCAGATTCCTAGTCTTTCTTCTGTTTTGAAGGTAGACCCCATTAATTAAGGTGTTGAAGAAAAGCAAAGAGTTGCTGCCCAAGTGGGAAATACTGCCTCTCTGTCATATTGAGAGGAAGAGCCCACACATCTTAATGGCGTGGTTTTGGTTTGGAGCAGCTCTGCTATTCAAATCAAGGCCTACCTCTCATTACAACAAAGTGCAAAGTGACTGGATGCATGCGAGATGTGTGGGCTTTGCTGTGACCATTTCTCTCAACAGTTGCTGCAAGTGGCAAGCATCCAAGCTATGTTCTAATACACAAGACCTAAGCTGCCTCCCCACATAAGCTGGAGCCTCACAGCCCATTACATTTTGACATGAGGTAAAACCATTAGGATTCTTGGAAAACAACACAGATGAAACTGTATGTAAATGTCAGCGCACAGCCGTGAAAGGAACAAGGTCATTTTGAAAGCTTACCCTGTACTTGTTGTCCCCAATCTGTTCAACTTGAAATCGTTTTGCACACTTACACTTAGCCACCTGCCTCGTGACCTGAAAAAAATCAATGGGGAAATGTTTACTGTAATATTTGCCTTCTGCAGTGGTACCTCACAGCTCTGATACAACCACCCACGTGGAATTAAGTAGGACAGGAACTGTGAGACATGTGGGTCCAGCTGAAGAACCGTGGGCAGCAAGTACCTCGTCCTCGATTTTGTCAGCGTCTGTGATGGGCTTGTACGCATCTTTATTTGGGTGCAGGGCAGCCACGAACTCGTAGTAGTCAATGTACCCATCCCCATCGCGGTCAAAGATGTCTGCAACTGCGCTCATCTCCAGTCGGCTGGTGGGGAATTCTAAAATTTGCACAAGAGGAGTAAGGACTGGTAAGTAGGCAGACTGCTCCCCGTACCCTTGTATTACTGACCAGGCATTCACCCTCAGCATAGGAGCTCAATTTCAGGCTGATCAAGAGTGTCAAAATTCTTCTCTGAAAAGTGGATTTGCATCCTAACAAATCAACATCTATATACATGATTCAAATTTATCTTTCATTTCTAGGGTGGAGTATAAGAAAATTCTGGCTTTTGTAGGCTGAAAACTCCACAGGGCTCAACAACTAGTCCATTTAAAGAAAAGCTGATAGGAAATCAAGGACTTCTAGTAGCATCTGTCAGAGAAATCGTGCTCCAACGGACAGGACCGTCAAACAAGAGGGTGGCTCGGGGCTCCCGAGGCTTACTGTGGGAATTTACATTAGGTTATTAATTAGGAAGATAAAGGGACAGGTGTTTGTTTCCTACTATACACCACCTCTGTTAGGCGGATGAGGATACAGCTTGGGGCCGGCACCTGACCAGAGGTGGGAATGTCCTCAAGCACAGTGTTTGGTTAAGGTAGTGACTTCCCGGCCCAGTTCCAAGTAACACTAGAGCTTTACATTACGCTTATTTTCTTTGAAACAGGCCCTACTTGAGGAGAGGATCCCATCAATAAACTCCTGCCGCGTGATCTTCCCATCCTGGTCTTTGTCGATTCTCCGGAAGAAATCCATCACTCGAGATTTCTTGTGGTTCATCCACCGCATGTATTTTTTCCGCCAGATATCAAAATCAAAGTTGGCAAATTCTCTCAGCTAAAAAAGGGCACAGGGCATCGTGGTGGGTTAGTGCCAAGCTGGCATGGCACTCCATGCCATCTGATGATCGCTGCTGTGGGACTCCACAGGCAGGCCCTGACTCTTCTGCACGAACCAAGTCCTTTCAACTGCAACTGAAAACCTCTCCCAGCAGCAAAGTCACAAAGGTGGCCTGGCCCAAAGACACAGCAACAGCCCTATGTTCAACAAGAGGCCAGGGCCAGGCCCAGCTTCTAACGAGCCTGAGCCTCCCCCGCTCTTCCCTATGAGCCATCTCCTAACTGGCCTACACGTCCAACACATTCCCAATTCCAAACTCCAGAACGCCAAATCTCCAGTCAGAGTGCATGTTATTAAAAGATCTGAATCATATACAGTTACCTTGGCCAGTTGGTATAGACACATGCCAGGTACAGGGCTATTGTTTTTGTTTCCTTTTCTTCTTTAAGGAGTTAGTTAACATGTAAACATTTTAGCTGAGTGTGGTGACTGATATCTGAGATCACTCAGGAAGTGGGGATGATCAGGATGCAAAAGTGTGCGAGTGTCCATTTTAACCAGTGGTGGTGTGGTGCGGTGCACGCCTCTCGTCCCAGCCATGGGGGAGGCTGCGATCGCGAGCTCTGTGCTTCCAGGGCCATCTGGACAAAGGTTGTGAGAAACAATCTCAACAGAAAAAGCACGGTGGTACAGGCTTGTTAAACCACCTACAATGGAAAACAAAAAACAGGAGGACTGCAGTCCAGGAATGCCTATCTCAAAAATAATCGGGGAAAAAAGGCACAACTCAAGTGGCAGAGAGCCTGCCTACGAAGCGTGAAATCCTGAGTTCAAGCTCTGGAACCACCAAAAAGAAAAAAAAAACCTAAGAGTCTTACTTTATTGATTCTCTAAATCCAAATCTCACATAGCTTTATCTCACATAGCCTTCTAATGCTATAGTGACGTCTATCTTCTTAGCTTTCAGTTGGGAGACAAACACAGCTGAGCGCTGGTTTGCTGATAGGAAAGCAGGTAAACCCTGGTGGGTGTGGCTGCGTGAGGGTGGAGGCAGAGAACACAAACCTCCTCCAGCCTGTCCAGGGCATCGTTGAGCTTCCTCCTTCGCTCCAGGGCCAGGAGCCAGACCTGCTGCCACTTGCTCACCAGCAAGTTCACTCGGGGATTCTTGGTTTCGATCGGGGTCTGCGATGCCGAGGGGTAGAAGCTTGATGCGGCCAAGCGTTTTCCTGTTAAGACACAACTCTGATCAGGATGGTGAAGCTGCCGGCACTGTGGCATGTGCAGGCGTCATTATTATGCAAACAGAAAGTCTAATGGAGGTGCTGGGTAAGCGCACAGGGCCCACGTGGGCTGCGCTGTTCAAGGTACAGAAACAGACCTGCACAGGGCATGCGTGTATGGAGAGCTCACTCAATACATGTTCCTGCTTAAAGTGCAGGCATTTCAGGGACTGTGTTGTGCCCTCTGAGCCTCCTCGTGGTACAGGCATGCTAAGGAAATCCCCCAGCAAGTGAGAGAATCAGTTCCAGCAAAGCTAGCTTCCCTTCTTCAGAGCAGGTACGCACCAGGGACAAGTCAAGCAAGCTGCGCTGTGAGGCCATCTTGGGTGGGAGCGCGGGCTCAGGACCCTTGCCACGGGTCTGTGTCCTGTACCCACGCCAGTGAGTACACTTTGTCTCTCATCTGGCTCCTTTTTCACAAGTTTCTTTTACCTTCAAGCACAGTTGTCCTCATCTTACTGAATGGTTAAATATGGCCTAGAAAAGTACTACGGTAAGGCGACTCAGGATGTAATGTCCAGACTGGGGCTAGCCGGTAACTTCTGAGCACATAACCAATGCCTGGCAAGCACACAAAGCATCCGCTCACTTAGCTCTCACTACGCCAGTGGGAGATGAGGCTGAGCAGAGCGGAGGTAGCTTGCGCAGCTGCCTCTGGGCTGGCGGGCGGCGAGGACACAGGGTTCGTTCTAGCGCTCTCGCCTCAGGCCACACACGAACTATGGCAGCTCAGACACCCTTGTAAAAAGAGACTACCCAAAATACACAAATGGGGCTGGGCACTGTGTTGTAGGCCTAGCAGGCCAGGAGGTGAGGCTAAAAGGATTGTGATCCCAGGCTGGCCAAGGGAAAAGCATGAGACTCTCCCTGAAAAACAAATAAAAAGTCAAGAAGACTGGGCTGTACCTCAAGTGGAAAGTACTGCCAACATGTAATACGCAGCACACACAATGCACAAAGTCAATGGTGCTTTAAGCTATTCGGAGTTAACGATCGTTATTTTAAGGCTACTTAGTTGCACAGACTGCCTCAGAAACAGTAACAAGAGTGAAGAACGACGAGCATGCAGGCTGCGAATGCTGGGCGTCAGAAGGAACCCGAGCCACTGCACTCACACTATCACACAACAGAAGAAGGCGAGAGCCTTTGGTGGGTGACTTTCCAGTTTCTTCTATCTGATATGAAAGATCCACTTCAAGCAAGCAGCGTTAAATACAGAATCGTGGACGGGACATTTCCTTTATTTGTACATGCGCTTCTATAGTACACTTCAGCCTATGAATTCCTTCAGAAAGGAAGCTTTGGATAGAGTGCTTGTGCAGCACCACTGATGGCCCCAAACAACTAATGGTAACCCAAAAGAAAAAGGCAAAGGCCATGGCCTCCGTGTCGACATCTGGCTTACTTGCTGCCCGTCCCTTCTCCAGGACGGGGATGTGGGACTGCAAGGAGGAAGGCCCGGCTGCTCTCCGCTTGTATGTCTTCGTGACTTTGTCAACATCAGGCTGTTTTCTCGTCATTTCTTCCATGAACATCTACAATGAGAAGACTAGTGTCAACGAATTAAAGGCAGACCAAATCAGATCAGTGGAAAACGCTGCCACTTCAGTAACTGATTGGGAAGGACTTGGGCAGAGACACAGCACCACTCCAGACATCAATACCCTGTCAGACGCTTTATTAAACTCTAACC